TAGAGAGATAGTCCTCTAACAAACTTCAAAGGATGCCACACCCACACCGCACCAAAAGACTTAATATGCAACCACAGAGGGGCTTTAAAAACCTCAGAAAGAAGTAAACCCCAACTGTTTGATCATTCTCTTCTATGGTTGGACCCCACTTCCTTAACGTCGAATTAGTTGCTCCCTTATACGATAAAGATATAATTACTGTAGCGTGATAGGGGCTCGTCCTTCTTCCCGAGAGAACAAAACAGCAACTTCTCAACATGACCCGAGGCACCTAACTTGAGCTTCCTCATGGAAAGGAGAGCTCACAGCACTGAGTCCCTTACTTGCTTCTCTGATTTATTCTCACGACTCCGTGCGTCAGCAGCGTCTCCATTTTATAGATGAACAAACCAAGGTTCGGGGGGTTCAAGCAATGAGCTCAGGGCCTGGCTGCTGGTAAATCATAAAACCGGCCCAACCCACTGCCCAGCCCAGAAGACTCATGAACGATACGCCCTGTAAGCCATGATAAACTCTCATTCAGGGAAAGACTCATTTTGTTTCCTGAGGGAAGCCGAATGCGTTCATTTGCCTTGTCATCTAAACAGGTACTCTCTTCTTCCCAGTTATTTCTCACTTGCTGTCTACATTTTTGAAGAAAAATCAAGACAAGCCAATATCAGAGAATGCATTGTCCTCCCAATCTCCTGCTCCCCATCCCCTATCGCAGAAGGCTTCTGTCCCCAGAAAGTCACCGTAAGAAAGAAAAAACAGAAACAGAGGTAGGGACTGGATCTCCGGAGGCACTGAGAGGCTGTACATGACCTGACATCTCCAAAGAATCACCCATTACCGATGCTGCCCCCACCAGGGAGGCGGCAAGGGCGTGCCAGGAGCCGGCAGACACACACATCAGGCCCAGCTTTCCCGAAGGGGAAAGCAGGTCTGTCGCTCTGTTTTCAATTCTTATTCCGGTGCTTTCATTTATTATTTATTTTATTTTTAAAGACCAAGTTCTTTGTTTTCATGACTTTTAAAAAACTACAGTTGACAAGCAATTTGATATTAGCTTCAGGTATGCACCATAGTGATTCAACATTCATGCACCTTACAAAATGATCATCGCCGTCAGCCTAGTAACCACTTGTCAGCACAGTAGCTATTGGGATATCCCTGACTATACTCCCTATGCTACGCATTGCATCCCCATGACTTGTTTTTACAACTGGAAGAAAGGCTTCTTTTCTCTCATACATCTCTCCTCCCCTGCTGTGTCCCAGACAGTCGTAAGGATTCCAAACGGAACCTCATTCTCTGAGGAACAGTTAGAATGCTCAGGTGTTGAAGAGCACATCTGAGAGAAGACGCCGTGTGAGCGTGAGATCCCAACCCCAGTTTCTAGGAGACGAGAAGCAGAGCGTCTTAGGGCGAGGCACGTCCATATTTCAATCACAAAGAGTGGCTGTAAGACTTATTTAAACATCCCAGACCTCAACCTTGCCTTGATTCCACTATCAAGTTTGACTCAACCGAAGCCACTTCATCAAATGAATTTATGGGAGGTAGGCGAAGGGAAAGAAAGTACTTAAGAAATTGTGCTCTTTGAAAGCAAAACTTGTCCTACCAGGAATAAACTTCCCTTCCCGGCAATACCACTTCTTAAGTACCCTGCTCCACCACGTATTTTGCCATTCTTAAAGAAACACGTTATCAACATAGTTCAGACGTGCCCACTCTTACCTTTCTGTGAGTAAATAACCATTCAGCTGTTGAGACTCTTGCTGGGACTTAAGGTTCTCCCCAGAGGAGCAGGCCGTCTGCACTGCTCTGCTTCCCCGGCAGCCTCTCCCTTCCCCTTCAGTCAAACATTAACCATTGACTGCCTTCTGGATTTCAGGAACCATCAGATGTCATAAACCGGGTGACTACATTCACTCCAGGAAATTAACTTGCACCGAAAGAAGTTAATTCACAACGAATACACCTCAAGACACGTTTCTGAATTTTCTGAATGGAGATAATAAATGAGAAGACAAGGAGAAGGTAAAGTATAAAAACTCGCTGTGTGCTCCACTATCTCTAGAGTATGAGCTCCACCACATCAAAGACGGCGTTTCCCCCCTATTCGGCACCACCACCCCAACAGGGAAGAGGGTTGGCACAGAAACTCAGTGGGCAAATATTTGAGTAGATCCCGCTTCAAACACAAGAGCGCAGGATGCCATGTCTGAGCAATGAGGCAGTTCATCGATAAGCAGCCGCAAGACACATAGGAAATGACTCAGAGAGCACCACAAAGACACGATCTGGCTGCACCTGTTTCTGAGGTCCTAGGGTTCCTTCAACGTCTGCAAGAAACAGCGAGGAGTCACCTTCGCTTAAAACACCAGCCGAGCCCTTTGCGTTGGGAAACTGTTTCAGGAAACTGTCCAGCTTCCTGTCATGAAGCTGGACTCAGGCCAGAACAGAGGTTGCTTTCAGGAACGCCCCCCGTAGACACTGATTGTGATTGATGCTCATCCTGACATGAATCAGCTCTCCGCCCGCACCTCCTGTTAGGAGCTGGTTCCTGGAACAGGTTTTGTCCTGAACTGGCCAGCCAGCTACCGCAATGAACCGTACCCGGTAGCATTCACGAACGAGTGGGGAACTATCCCCACTTTACCCTCCATAATTCTTTGGCACCGGCCACGCTGTGTAAGGATCCATTTCCTCTTGCCTTATATATAAATTTCCCTTTATAAACTCTATTAATTATCAAACCAGACAGCCTCTTCCTTCAGTCTTTCCCTGTCTCCTGCTTACAGAGCTAGACTGTCAGTCTGAGGCCTTTTCCCTGTGTCTGCGCGTAGGAGTATCCTTTTCCTCACGATTCTGAGAATGGATTCACCTACAAGAAGTTACCTTTTTCCACTCAAAATGAGATTTCTGATTAAACAATAAAAGCCAGCCCGAACCGGCTCTGCTCAGTGGATAGAGCATTGGCCTGTGGACTGGAGGGTCCCAGGTTCAATTCCGGTCAAGGGCATGTACCTTGATTGTGGGCACATCCCCAGTAGGAGTTGTGCAGGAGGCAGCTGATCGATGTTTCTCTCTCATCGATGTTTCTAACTCTCTATCCCTCTCCCTTCCTCTCTGTAAAAAAATCAATAAAATGTATATATTTTTAAAAAAGCCAATAGCTCCAGATTTCTTAAGTCAAGGCCTCTTTTAGACGGATTTCTGATTCCCACCCGTCAGTCACTCTGGGAATCCACACTGAAGAGAAGAATCAATGTTATTGTTTTGTCCAATGTGTTACCTGTTGCCATGTTTTTGTTGACTTTCTGATATTCATTTCTGGGCTTCTCCTGAGCTGTGTTGTGTTTTCCACAAGAGCACAGCCCCCTGTATAGATGGGCTTCCTCCTTTCCAGATCCCCTGAGAAGACCTCATGATTGCTCTCAGCCTCATTCATCCTGAGGATCCTCAAAGTGAAACCATCTGATTGTGTGCAGTGGTCAACACACCGGGTGGACCAGCAGGTCCGGGAAGGATCCTTCCTCCCTTTGTCTCACTGCCAACATAACTATGTTTAGGGAGACGGGGTCAGCAAGGCTAAGCAGTTCTCAAATTCTTAACACCTGGGTCTTCCCATTTGCTGAATAAAATGACCTTGTTCTATAAATCAAATAGCTTCCACCTTTGGGTTTCACATCCTGGTGAGAGGAGTTAGCTTGACACACAGGCAGGCAGGGCAGGGGTCCACTGGAAAACAAGGGCAAGTGGAACACAGGCAGGGGCAGACATGGCAGTGTGAGCAAGCCTCATCCCAGGAACCAACCAGGCAGAAATAATAGAATGTTTTTAGACTCAGAACAGGGGTATGTGAAACTAGGCAGGGTCTGCAACAGTAAGGTGAACTGACCCATAGGAACAGAGAAAGTTCAGGTCCGTTGCTGGGCAAGAACAATTGTGGGAATCAATCAGGTGGCCACACGGGTAAATTATAGAACAGGCTTGTAGCAAATATAAGCCCCTAGACCCTAGACCAGTGTTCTCAACCTTGGCTGCACATTAGAATCACCTGGGAATCTTTTAAAATCCTGATTTCTGGGCCTCATCCTCCGGAAATTCTGTTTCTTTGTTATGGGGTGGGGCCACAACATTAGTAACAAAGAAACAGAATTTCTGGAGGATGAGGCCCAGAAATCGGGATTTTAAAAAGATTCCCAGGTGATTCTAATGTGCAGCCAAGGTTGAGAACCACTGCTTTAAAGGATCATTAAATGAGTTAAGACTTAGGTAACAAAATAAATCACTAGACCCATACGTGACAGGTGGCTATACCTTCTCTAAATTACCACTACATAAGAGAAAACCAGTAGCAGTTAACAACACAGACTCGACTGAAAGCTCACCGAAGGCCACCACTTCTTTCTATCCCCCAAAAGAGTTTTCTGAAGACAAACAATACATTTTTAGGAGCAGGACTCTCAGCCGTGGCTGTACAGAATCATAGGGATTGTGATCTGATTGGTATTTGGCGAAACCTGACAACAATCATTTGTAAAGTTCTCCTCACGCCAACAGCTGAGGTTGAGAGCCTCCAGGTTCATGTGGAACCTTTGCCAGGCACTTTCTGTAGAACCTCATTTAATCTTCACAACAAGCCTGTGAGGTCGTTGTTGTTATTATTACCTTACAAATGAGGAAACTGAGGCACAAAGAAGAGAACAATAGATTCTCCAAGGTTTGAATCTAGGTCTTAATTTTTTAAAACAACAAAACACTTTAACAGCTACCCTCAGCTGAGCTCCAGTAACAGCCTGCTGACTGTGTCTCCCCCACCACCCTCATTACCTACAAGGAACAGAATCAGGGTGGCTCAAGTCCCCTAAGCAGATCGATCAGCTCACGGATCCATAGACAAAATATTGATACCTCCAACCCCAATAACAGTCCCTCCCCCTGTCCCTCCTGTCCCCCCTTTTCTGAGAGACTTCCATCGCTGGGACTCTTGCCCCAATTGATCAACCTACCCCGATAGCATTTCCATGAACGGAAAACACCAACCACTTTGTCCCAGGAACAAATCTTCTCTCCACCTGATATCCTCTTGGATTTCCACCTGGCCTCCTCTCTCATGGAGCAACAGTATCACTCGACTGGCGAATATCCAATTGTTGGAGTAGGCGGCTAGATAGACATGAGCTGCGAGAGTAGTGAGGGCCTGCAGGCGATACGTGGGAGACATGACAAACCAAAAATAGCAAAAAAATAGCAGAGCCAAATATGAAGAAAGCGGAGAGGAAAAAAAAAAACACAAAAAACCCTCCAGGATGTGGTCTAACTGATAGCACAGCATCTGGATAGGGCAGCCTTGAAGCTTCAGGATGTAAGGTCTGGGGCTGTGAAAATAGGGTCTTTCCTGATCCCACCAGCTGAGTTGGACAAAACAACCCAGAACTGCCGAGCCACATCCTGCTGGACAATAGCTGCCATCCTGGGACCCACCAGAGCATCCTGTTGTGCTGATGGCCAATAAATAACCACCGGAGACTTCTCAAGATGGCCGGGGTGCAGCTGCACCAACTTCCCGCTCATCAATCACCCGCCACAAGCTACCTCAGATAAACCAGATTGGTCCAACAGCAGCATAAAAAATCTCTGCCAGGCATAGGCGGGTGTGACTCCCCCGGCCTGCACCCCCAGACCGTGGGACCTCACCCGAGAGCTTCCGATAAACGCGATATTTCGCTCTTACCCTGCTTGTCTTGGTCAATTTATTGGCTTTGGTCAGATTAAATCTTACATCTCAGATTAAACCTAACACAGGAGATGTATTTTTCTGAGACATGAGGGAGGGGGGTGACTTGCTCCTAGTCTGGGGGCATTCCAACCTAGGTATATACATCCTCTGAACCCCCAAATAAGTGGGGCACTTGGTTTGATTTCAGCCGGCTGAGTTGCACACTCAGACTATATCTGAGTGTATTCCTTTTCTGCAAATAACTTCTCACCTGCTTTGGCTGCTATCGGTCGCTTGTTTGAATTCGTTCCTACAAGAAGACAAGAACTGAAGATGCGGAGTACTGTCTACCGCTGGCCCAATCTCTCTCTCAGCTGGTCTGGAGGAAGGCCACCCTCTTCCAGAGCTAAGGAGGAAGTGGTCAGCTTTAGTGTAGCTCAGTTCAGACGAGCCAGGTCTAGCAACCAATATTGTTCAAAGTGTTACACCTAACGCGAGGTACGCATTGACCCCAGCAATAACCGGATAGTTCCTGACTCAGTGGGCTTTCTAAAATGTACCCCTACCCCATGATGGAACCTTTTGTCTATGGCTGGGGTATCCTGTGGTCCCCACTACAACAATGCTGAACTGTAGACTTTTGTTTTGGAATTTAACATTGGTCTACAGCAGAGATTTTCAACTGGTGTGCCTCGGCACACTGGTGTGCCACAGACTTTTTAAAACATTCAATACCTGACTATTTCGTCAGGGGTACTGAGCTCTTTCCCCTTAGATTGTCAAATAGAAAACTGACAACAGCCAACTCAATAGCCATCTGGTCTGAATGAATCAACGTTATAGGTATTTTTTGTCAGATCAGCAGAAAGTATATTTTTTGGTGTGCCGTAGAATTTTAGTACAGTGGGGCCTTAACCTACGAGTTTAATTCGTTCCGTGATGGAGCTCATAACTCAAATTACTCGTATGTCAAATCAAAAAGTGAACGAGTGAGACACGTGATGCTGGGCTGATGTTGTGGCGTTCACTGTGACGTTCGCTGCGCCAACTAGCGGTGGGGTATTTGAAGCTGGCTCGTAACCTGAATTTTAGCTCGCAACTCAAAGCAAAAAAATCGGCCGAGAGGTGGCTTGTATCTCGAAAAACTCGTTAGTCGGGACGCTCGTAAGTCAAGGCCCCACTGTAATTAGTTTCTGTGTGCCATGAGATGAAAATGGTTGAAAAGTGCTGGTCTACTGGGATCTTGAACTTTAATTTTCTACCTTGGGAATACAGAGCTCTTTGGTCCTTTTCTTTTTGGGTCATGAAGCAAAGGAAAGCAGGCAGAATTACCAGGGAGTCTCGGTGTCAGTGGCATATTTCCTGAGCCTGACACAGGCAAAGAGAACTCACTTCCCCCATCTTTGTTCAGATCGCTAATAAATTAGCTGACTGTTCTTTAAGGGAGGGTGTTTAAGACCACAGACTTTGGAGATTGGCAAATTGGGATCTGAATCCCAATCCTAATGCATTTCTTTGACTTCCAAATGTCTCACCCACCTGGATTTGGAAGTCTTAGACTAGATCTTCAGTATCTCACCCCCAACTCTGTCCGTGCTCAGAACTTCGTGGCCTAATCAAGGGGTAAAAAACAGGTGGATTAGGGATCTTTGTTAGAGGGGAGGATCTTTGAACGCCATTGAAAACTGATATCAAGATATTTAAGTATATTGATGGTGGAAAGAGGAGATCCAAATATTTTCCTAAAGAGCCTTTCAACTTTATTCCACCCGCCTTAAGAATATTTTCCCAGCCCTAGCTGGTTTGGCTCAGTCAATAGAGCGTCGGCCTGCGGACTGAAGGGTCCCAGGTTCGATTCCAGTCCAGGGCTGGAGGGCTCAGGAACACACCCGCAGCAGACCCTGGAGCATGCTGGCATTATTCCATGTGAGGACATGGGCCCTCCCAGGAAGATATTTATTAGCCTCATATTATAAATGAGCACCCATTTCTAATCTAAAGGTTCAATCACCACCCAAGATGACTCAACAAGGAAGAGGTGGACCGGGTCTGTCGGACTCCAGTTCTGAGTAAATCTAATTAGGTGCTCAGAGCTCTGAACACTTATTACTGATATTCCAAACTCCCAGGCCTCCTGGGCCGTGGTGTTTCATTGTACCTTGTCCTTTTTTGAGGGCTGGAGAAATGGACTCCAAGTCCCCTGATCCAAATCCTCCCATCTCATCCAAATGCCATCCCAACCATCCACCTGGGACTTTTCACCCCCGTGACCAGTCCCCTGGGCTTCCCTCGTCCTGTACACCCTTTTTCAACAAGAGCCAGTGCCTCGGGGCTCAGGTGGCACCTGCCCTTCCCCACCTGGTGGGACTGGGCCCTCCGGTCAGGAGCTGGGACCAGCCCCGGAGCCCTCCGTGATCAAATTCTGCCCCAAGAACTGGTGCTTCTCCCCAGAGCCTGTGCTTGGCGGGGAAGCTCCGAGCAAGCCTCACATGCTCCCGCGTGTTCCTCTGCTTGTACAGGAGGGGGAATCCAAGACAAGGTTTGTTCAAGCCGGAGATCACAGGGATATCAGGGACTCAGAAGAGCAAAGTCCACAGCTTGTGTTCCTGCCTCTCTGTGCCAATTGCGGATTCGAATCAGCTGTGTCCACTGGAAATTTTCCCCTTGAAAATCATGCTCCTGCCCTAACCGGTTTGGCTCAGTGGATAGAGAGTGGGACCTCGCACTGAAGGGTATGGGGTTCGATTCCGGTCAATGGCACGTACCTTGGTTGCGGGCACATCCCCAGTAGGGGTTACGCAGGAGGCAGCTGATCGATGTTTCTCTCTCATCGATGTTTCTAACTCTCTATCCCTCTCCCTTCCCCTCTGTAAAAAATCAATAAAATATCTATTTTTTAAATTATGCTTCCTTGAGAGAGGGGGGAAAAAGTGTGCCACCTGATTTCTCTTTCAAATGCCAAACGAACAGCCTTGGTTTTACCTTCCCAGGTCTCTGGAGGATGGGAAGGGAGACAACTAAGCTCATGAGTCCCCCACCTGTTGGCTTGTAAGTCTCATACTCGCACTTTCCGTTCTGGAAGGAGCCTGGGCTGCAGCTCCCTCCCCCTTAGCAGAGGCCATAAGCCTTAAGCATGAGAGAGCCTTGGGGGGCGGGGGGACCAGGCCGGCCAGATAACCATCAACTGAATGTGAACCACCTTCTCTTCACACTAATTGCAAACCCAGCCCGGAGCCTCACATTTGTAAGGAACTTTTATCATAATTAATCATTTTATGGGAGGGCGGCTATGGAGACTGCGTGGCTCAGGTCCCAGGGCTGGGGCATGCCTGCAAGTCTCTCCCACAGTGACTCACCGATGTAGCTTCACGCCCATCTCCATGGGGGCTGGGACCTTCAGCCATTAGCATCTGTCACCTATGGGTGACCTCTCCAGCTTTCAAAGCTTCCTCTTCTGCGGCCCTACAGCTTGTGGGTTTCTCTCTGGGCTGCTCTGCTCACTGCAGGATAACTGTTACTGAGTTATCATAAAAGGTCCCTCGAGCCTCTACACCTCCCACATGCTTCCTGTTAACAAATGAGCTTTTCATGGTTGCTTGCAAGGTCATTAAAATTCAGGGCCTGGAGGGTCATTTCTGAGGGCAATGAGGGCCCCAGTTACCAGCCACTCACCGTAAAGAACCATCACTCACATCCGGTGAACTGTCAGCCTTACTTTGAACTTTATAAGACTAGAAAATCACAGGTGTGAGTGGGAGCAGAGGGGAGAGTGGACACACCGGAGGGACCCAGAAGGCTCCCGGCCTCCGGCTAGTTATCGTTTGCATAAGGGAGACCCTGTTGCCTGCCTCCTGGGGTTTGGAGATGAGATGAAGTGCCTAAAAACAAATTTCAGGTGTGAGCTGTGGTTGCCTCGGCTGCTGGGTCAGCTCTGTACCCTGCCCTCGGGAGCTAAGGTCGGGCTTCAGGCCAACTCCCTCCATCAATGGTTCCCCAGGTGAGCTAGTTCCATCACCTTTAAACCTCCACTCCCATCTGCACCCATGTTTCAGCCTCCCCACGGTGACATGAGGCCAAGCAGAAGCCCCGAGGAGGAGGCACTGCCTGGCCAAGAGGTGAAGTGTTCTCGAAGCCTCCAAGCGCTGGGCAAAGGGAGCAGCACAGGCGGGCTTTTGGAAGAAAGGCCCAGGGAGAGGGAGGGAGGTGACAGCATCTCTTCTGGAAAATGACCGGTGCTCCTGTCTTTCAGCCCATTCCTCTTGGGGCCGCTGGGCCTAAGGGGCCTGGGAAGTCTGTCATGTTCTCCCATGAAGGCCCCACCCTGCCGAAGGCCTCTTCACAACCTGCTCCCCAGAGGCCTTTGGCT